TAATGCGAATGATTATCAATGTATTTCCCATAATTGCTGCCATGTTAGGCATGTGATTTAAATATTTCATGTCCCTTAGGTGTAACCGCACAGTCATTGAGATGCATCACATGGCCATCATGTTGGTTCAGAACTCTGTGTATCTAACCTTGTATATGAGTAGTCTAGGCAGGTTACTTAACTGTTTTAGTTACTATAAATACACAGCATAGCCTTTACATTTTATAAGATTTGTGCATTCAAATATAAAATACCACAACTAAAAAAGTTTCGTAGGGGAAGCAAGAGTTTTACCCGTTGATTTGGTAATTTAAATAAGATGCCATTATGAACATTGTGTGACAGTTACTGTATATATGATTGAGGTGACTCTGAATATTTTGTAAACCCAATAAGCTGTGTGTTAACAAGTAAGAGTTTCTTAAAATGAAATATCACAACTGATGTTGGTTAAGTTTATAAAATGATTCAGTTTACTACAGCTTAAAAGTAAGTTTCTTAAAGGTATTTCATGTTTTTGTACAACATATAAAAATAAAAAAATTAAGATAATTGTGATAATTTGTTTTGACACAATATCTGATACTTTTCTGTTTAATGCGAATGATTATCAATGTATTTCCCATAATTGCTGCCATGTTAGGCATGTGATTTAAATATTTCATGTCCCTTTTTGAAGATAAAACTTCTTTCTCAAACTAGTAAGTAGGTACTGCCATTGTTTTGCTTAAAGTTTCAGTAAGAAGTGTAAAAGTTATAGCACTAACATGTAGCAATAAGGATACAAGTCAGTCATATAGACTTAGCACATGACAAAGTTAACACTAATTTACAAACATTTAGTAGATATTCGATACATTGATCAGTCATAGAAAAACATAAAATTATGTATCATAAACTTTATTCTCTGACTTTTTGTAATGCTATTTAATGCTTAATGTACTTTTTTTTTCTTTAGAAACATCTACTCAAATTTGGAGAACTACTAACCAAAAAAGTGAGTTGGAAGATCATGTGTTTATATTGCTTATCTTTGAGTTAGATATTCATTTTATGGTTAGTAGAAATCATCAGAGGTCATCTTTGCCATCTTAGTAGTTTTAGCAAGTAGCAGAAATACTGATCAGTATATCAAAAATTGTATATATTATTAAAACATAATAAAAATGTATATGTTTCCTCATTTTAATTCAGTGTAGTACTTCATAAAGTTTTTTTCTTTTTACTAGCAGATATCATCTTAGCACATGGCTATGGAATCTTAAAAACACAGCTTCTTCATCAGTTATCTTAAATGCACATGAGTAGGAAAAGAAATTATCATAACAATAAACTAATTTGGGTTGGTATTGGGAAATACAGAAAGTAGGTCTAAATAACTGTGAAAATTGAACTTTTAAGATGGAGTTTGCAAAAGCTGACCAAATTCAGCTGGTAGTGGAGAGCTGTTATTCAAAACTTTCCAAATTCATTGTGACTAAAGATTTAGTAAGTAAGAGAAAATAATTAATGATAAATTTAGATCTGTTATTTGGTTCTCATATGAAAAACATTTTAGTTGCTGAAAGATAATAATAGACATTACAAAAATTGTTTATATATACCCAGAAACAAAAGACATTTATTAATTAACTCATAAATAGAGGTGTTATAGGATTGATAGTTTAGTATCAAGTTTAAAATAAAACGTGTGATAGTGTAGTGATGCTGAAGCTTGAGTTCTGGATTTTATCTAGAGTTTATTAGTCAAGATGTTAGATATATCACTTGAAAGCATGTATCATGACCTGTTTCTTTGTATCTTTTGTTTTTCTATATTTTTAATGACTGAAAGCTGAATTTTCATATCACTTTGCATTGAAGAATTACTGTTGACTAACTATAAGTGCTTCCAGTGACATCAAAGTTAGTAAGTTTGATATCAAGTAAAATTTAATAAAAATTACTTAAGTGTTTGGTTTTCTTAAAAAATGAAGGACCGATTTATGTGTAAAGAATCTTCTTGTACCATTATATGCATACATTAATAATGTTTGAAGATAGATCCTGATTGTGTTTTCCTTGCAAGTGTCTTTATATAAGGGTGAGTTGGTTAAGCTTTTTTTTATGTGACTTTGCACATGAATTTCTTTCAGTTACAAACCATGCCAGAACAGTCACACAATGCACAAAGTTTCTTCATTTTACTAGCATATATCATCTAAGCACATGGCTATGGAATCTTAAAAACACAGCTTCTTCATCAGTTATCTTGAAAATACACATGAGTAGGAAAAGAACATTAATAATGAATGAGAATTGTGAGGTGTACATTGTGTATAGTTTATCTTTCTAATATATAAAAAGATTCATTAAATTTTGAATAATACCAATACTGGTAAATCTCAGATTAACAGTTTAATGTTACTAAAAATGGGCTTTCCATTCCAAACATCTTTAATAGTTTTTGGAGGACAATTCCTGGATAGAAAGGTTCTTGGAAATTAATGTTGATTTACTTGTAAATCAACAAAGATTCACAAATATATAAATTACATAAGAGCTCTTGTATGCATGCATCTTTCAAATTATGTCTTAAAAAAAGATCAGCTACAGATAATTCTATAAAACTCCATCTGGTTAGCTTGGATTGAATATGGATGTTTTTTCAGTTGGTTCACTAAAATTATAATAGTAATGTTTTATTCTTACTGTGAAAAATAATTTGACAAGATATAAACTGAGGGAAAATTCTCTATCTCAGCCACTCAGCTTTACACATGCTACCATACGTTCAGAAGTAGAACTGTCAGGTTGAAGAAATACAAGATATTAATAAAATACAATATATTAAACAAAATTGCATGATTAAATAATAATAAACAAACTATTAGGTAAAAGTTTAATAAACAAACTACTAAGTAAAATCTTCTCTACTGATAATTACTGCTTAATTTTTTTTTCAGAAATGTAGTGTTTGTGTAATTACAGGAAACAAAATATTTAATATTTCAAACTATTTCTGATTTTTTAGATAGTCTCTCCGGGAGGGATAGGTATCTGTTGGAGCATTACAGAAAAGTACACATCAAACAAAGAAATTATGAAGATTCCTTCTCAGAAGGTAAGAATATCTGAAACTGTACTGAAAAACTATTCATATGATTTCTGTGTTTCTCGTAGCACCTTTATCTTACATCAAACATAAACAATCTGTTATTTGATAACAAGCCATTTGTTTAGGTTTCACACTTTCCAGTTAGGTAAAGTCAAAATAATGAAAATATATATATATATATATATATTATTTTTTTTTTTTTCTTTATTT